TTGCTATTGCTATTGCTATTGCTATGAATCTTGCAATTGCTATGAATCTTGCTATTGCTATGAATCTTGCTATTGCTATGAGTCTTGCTATGAATATTGCTATTGCTATTGCTATTGCCATTGCAATGAGTAGTGGGAGGAGTGCGACTACTATGGTGCCAGGTGTGGCAACTAGCGTCTTTCCGCGAATACAACGCACGGTCATTGTAGCTGTACTGCAATTGGGGCAAGTTTCAGGGTAAATACATCGAAAATGACGGTGCGTCGGGGGGAAGACGGGTATCACCGGCATTCCTACTGCGGCTGCACTGTTACTACCATCTTCACCCGAATAGAACGCCTGGTTGTTATAGCCGTATTTGGTGCACGTTTCAGTCTAGATACAGTGGTGATGACCGGACGTTTAACTCGGGTGAAGATGGTACTGGTACTTCTGTGCCTGCGCTGTTACTACCATCTTCTCCCGAGTAGAACGTAACGGCAATTATAGCTGTATTTTGGGCAACTTTCAGTCTAGATGCAGCGATAATGACCGTGCATTCTGTTCCCCCCGTAGTACTGGTACTCCTACTGGTACCAGTCAGTAGTACCATTAGTAGAACTGCTACCGTCTTCACCCGAATAGAACGCCTGGTAATTATCACCGTATCTGGGCTGAAAGTTGTGCCAAATACAGCTATAATGACCGGGTGTTCTATTCGGGTGAAGATGGTAGTCATAATAGTTGGACCGTCTTTCCCCGAATACAACTCTCCCTCATCATGACTGTATCACACCTGAAAGATAGCTTGTCTACATTCATAACGAGGGTGCGTTGTGTTGGTGGTGGTGGGGGGGAACGGTAACTGTTACAGCAGTGCCAGTAGTAGCAGTAGCCATACCAACTGGCCTACCGTCTTTCGCCGAACACAACGCACCCTTATTTTGGCTGTATCTGGCCGGAATATAGCTTCTATACATTCATTTTTAGGGTGCGTTGTGTTCGGGGGAAGACGGTAGCCAGTAGTAATAGTAGCTATATAACGGGCCAGATGACGAGGTCACCTGCACGAGTGCCCTGCCGCTGCCCATGGTAACTTAGAGATTTATCTGCCTACCATCTTCAACCGAAAATAAGTGCGCGAATAGAACTTAGCTATTTATATGCCTACCGTCTTCACCCGAAAATAAGTGCGCGAATAGAACTTAAAGATTTATATGCCTCCCGTCATCACCCGAAAATAAGTGTACTAATATAACTTAGAGATTTATATGCCTACCGTCGTCACCCGAAAATAAGTGTACAAATAGAACGCCCGGCGGCCGCCGGGCGTTATATTCAGTAAATTTGTGGCAACTTCGGCGAGGCCCCAAAATTGCGAAAAAGAAAAGAAATAAAAAATTTTAAATTTTGTAAAAAAGATATGTTGTCCAGGATTGCAATGCGACCAACTTTTGGCTGAGGGTCACTGCAGAATTCCTTATGAATTCGGGGGGGGAAAAATGAAAACGAAAAATCAAGCCAAAATATAACCCTTGGAAGTCAAAACCCCATTCAACCCTTTTCAAAACCCACGTATACCCCCTTCCCTGCCCTTTAAAACCCATGTATACTACCTCTTCAGGGCACTCTGCCCATGGAACATTCAAAGCACTCTGCCCATGAAACATTCAAATATAACGCCTGGGCTTTCTATTCGAATATAACGCTGGGGCGTTCTATTCGCAGGTGCGTTCTATTTTTAAAAAAGTGAGTAAAAACGAAAATCTCATCTTTTTAGGGTAAGGTTAAAATAATGCCCGGCGCCTCGGGTGACGACGGTAGTCATGGAGAACTGCACGGTGAAAAACAGGTGCCTGTGACGGACTGTTTTGTCAGATTTTCACCCACTCAGTAGGACGCTGAGCCCTCTGCTGTCTGCAGAATCCCCTAACCGATGATGCTGTTAAGTCGTACTCCACCTTGACGGGGGTTGTGGTTGAGCTCGAGAGACTACCCCATTCCAACCGATGCCCTTCCGAGGTGGGCACCAACCTCTGTGCTCTAAGGTGGGCACCTGTCACGACAATCAAAACATTGATCACTCACCCTGACCAGTTGAAGAAGACCCTACAGACTGCAGGTTCAACCCCCTTCCCCCTCCCCCCCCCCCCCCCCCCCCCCCCCCCCCCCCCCCCCCGAAACAAGTTGAAGTCTGCCACAGCCAGAAAATAT